AGGCCTCTGTTCCTCACCTCTTCTATTTTTCGGTGGCTGTTGACATTACTTTGGCTTGTAACTATACAGATAATTTGCTTTTTCTGTTTTTCTGCCCCTTTCATAAGGATGCTCATGATGACATCAAAGACCCCACTGACAGGATAAGCTCCTTTCAGATCATTCACTTAGCCTAGTGCCTAGTGGCTCTAGCCACTAGGCTGGAATATATATGTAATATTCATTCTTTTGCTGCATAAGGTAATATTCACAAGTCGGCCTATTTTTCAGTTTATTACCTGCTCCCTTGTGTTTCATTGCAGGCCACTTCTATTTATCATCATCAACAACAAAACCGTGTGTGTGTGTATGTGTGTGCACGCGCACACGCGCACACACGCATGTGCTAGAATATTCTTGCTTTTTTTTTATTCAAGGCTAGTACTTTACTTGAGCCCCACTTCCAGTTCAGCTCATTTCCTGGTTAACTGGGGATAAGAGACTTGGAAGGTTTGTCTGTCCAGCCTAGCAGATCTCAGACTCCTGAGTAGATAGGATTACAAGCATGAGACACCATGCTGGATTTTTCTTTTGTTTTAAATTTTTGTCTTGCACTGTGGCTCACCTTGTAAGATGTCTGACTAGAGCAACCATTTGCCCTATTGTGACTTTTCATTCTGTATTGTCATGTAGAGCAAAGATCCGTGAACTACTGCCCACAGGCCACATCCATCCACTGCTTGTTTTTGTATAGCAATTTGTAGAGAACAGTTTCACATTTTTAAGTGACCAAAGAGTCAAAGGAAGAATTTTATTTTGTAATACATGAAAACTACATGAATTCAGACTCACTGTTGAAAAATAATGTTTCCAGGCATGATGGTTCACACCTATAAACCCATCACTCCTGAGGCTAGAGGATTGCAAGTTCATCGCTCCCCTGCGCTATCTGAAAACAGCAAAACAAAACAAAGAAATGCATAAAAATCTAAGATGTTATTAGGACACAGCCTTGCTTATTTATTCTGTATTGTCCAACTCTTAATTGACATACAGCATCTCAATAGAGTAGCTATAACAGGAGCTATGAAATCTACAAAGGCTACCTATCTGGCCCTTTAAAGAGAAAGCTCATAGACGTCTGTTGCAGTAGGGATGGCTTTTATTTTTAGCATTCAGCACATAATCAGCACCAAACATTTCTTGATGAATAGTTAATTTTTAATTTGATATTTAAAAATATTTAATTTTAATATTCCTAATGTTTAAAAAAATCTCACTAAAATAAAAGGATTCTTCTAAAACTATAGGTTTTGATGTCATTATTAGTGTCTTTTGGTTGGGGGGGGCAGTCCTAGGACTTGAACTATGGGCCTAGGTGCTGTCTGTGAGCTTTTATGATCAAGGCTGGCATTCTGCCTTGAGCCACAGCTCCACTTCCAGTTTTTGTGTGTGGTTAATTGAAGATAATAGCCTCACAGACTTTTCTCCCCAGCTGCTTTGAATCTCAATTCTCATATCTCAGCCTCCTAAGCAGCTAAGATTACAGACATAAGCCTGGTACTGGCACCCGGAAATCATTTGTGATTTTTGTCTCTAAGACTCAAAGGATGCAGTATAGATTATTGTCTCCCCCTTCCCATTCCCCCAGTCCTGGGGCTTGAACTCAGGGCCCGGGCACTATCCCTGAACCTCTTTTGCTCTAGCACTTGAGCCACGGCTCTACTTCTGGCTTTTTCTGTTTATGTGAAACTGAAGAATCGAACCCAGGGCTTCGTGCATGCTAGGTGAGCATTCTACCCCTAAGCCACGTTCCCAGCCCCAGTGTACTATCTTGCCCATGGGTTTACTTGAACCTCCAGGACTGATGTGATATTGGATAGTGGGATGATGTGTGTGTGTGTGTGTGTGTGTGAGTGTGAGCTTGGCTATGATGCCAGTTTCTTTGGTTAAACACTAGTCTAGATATTGCATTGAAGGTATTTAGTAGCTATAGCTGACATTTACAATCCGTCCACTGTAAGTAAATCATACTTCCTCCGTCATGTGGGTAAGCCTCCTTCAATCAGCTGGAAATCTTAAGAGCAACTACTGAATGTTTGGAAGAAGGAATTCTGCTTGAGTTTCCAGCCTGCTGGCCTGCTCTACACATTTGACTTGCCAATCATAACAGTTGTGTGAGTCTGCTTTTCAAAGGCCTCTCTGTCTCTGCTTCATTTTTCTCTTGACAGATGAATAGATGTAGATATTTCCTATTGATTCTCTTTATCTGGAGCCCTCAAAGTGCTACAGCAAGCTCCTCTCATGTGTGCAAGTAGGGACTATTTCTGTGCTCGGCACTGGAGACCCCCAGGCCCTTCTCCCTTGTGTAGGCGGGGCCCTCCCCAGCATCATCTGGCCCTTCTCTCACACCTCCTTCAGGCTTCTGCCTCTTGCTGCTTTGCAAAATAAATGTTATATTTGGATGCCACAGTGAGAAATAAGCTCACTTGTGAAGACCAAAGACCTTTTTCCCCCCCTCAGTCTAAAATTATTTAAATTTATAGGAAGACTAAAAGAGGATGATTAAAAAAAGGCTCATCCTACTGAAGCAAACAGACATACTGATAAGGAGCACTGAGAAAGGGAGACCAATTTCTGGGGGGCAAAATATGTGTGCTCTCTCCCCTCTCCTCCTCTGAAAACAGAAGTTTTCTGTGCATCTAAGCTGCAACAGAGACCAACAGAGTCTCTACAACTTCGTCACTTTTCAAGAGAATCCTTTTCTGCTTGAATGTGTAATTTTTCACATGTAAAATAGTTCCTTTGACAGACTTTAACTTTACAAGTACATAAAACTGTATATAGAGAGAAATGGGCAAAACTCCTAAATAGTGTGCATTTAGTGTATTTGGGGGTGGGGGGGGGAAAGGCTGAATTCAGGGCCTTAGTTTTTCTATTTACAGCCAGTATTCTACCACTAGAGCCACACCTCCCCTTCCTCTATTTGTATTTTTTTATCCAAAATATCTGTAGCTTTGCCAAAGAAGCAAAGCATGAGAATAAAAGAAAGCACGGACTTGTATTTCTCTCTATATATAGTTTTATCTACTAGTGAGATAAAGTTTATCAAATGAACCGTTTACATGTGAAAATTACACATCAAGCAGAAAAGGATTCCCTTGAAAAGTAATTATTATATGCTAAATTAGTTTTACTAGGGCCCCTTCCCCCATTTTTTTTGGTTGGCCATGGGGCTTGAACTCTGGGCCTAGGCACTGTCCCATGGCTCTTCAGCTCAAGCATAGGGCTCTACCACTTGAGCCACAGCACCACTTCCAGCTTTTTCTGCTTATGTGGTGCTGAGGAATCAAACTCAGGGCCTCATGCATGCAAGGCAAGCACTTTACCACTGAGCCACCTTCCCAGCCCTTCCCAGGCCTTTTAAGAGATACTAGAGAATATATACTTTTTCCATTTTGATTTTTCCAAAGTGAGGACTGTTCTGTCAGATGGCTCCGGGAAATGCTTGTCCACACATTCATCAGAGGCATGTTCTTCTTCCCTCTCTGCAAATAGTCCTCCATCCCTGTTCTCATACCTTTTCAAGTTGCATCTTCTATCAGTTAATTTTATTTCCTATGTACATCCTACTTATTAAGTATTGAGGAAGTAATTATAACAGTTGTATCATGAAACGTGTTCTTACTCTTCTCCTGGTATTCTTTGCTTTTTTGTGCCAGTACTGAGGCTTGAACTCAGGGTTTGGTGCTGTCCCTTAGTTTTTGTTTTTTTACTCAGGGCTAGTGTTTTACTACTGTGTCACAGTTCTACATCAACTTTTTGGTGGTTAATCGGAGATCAGCGACTCACAGACCTTTTTGTGGGGCTGGTTTTGAACCACAATCTCCAGATCTTCCAAGTAGCAAGAATTAAGTTGTGATTCACCGATACCTGGCTTCCTTGCAGTGGTTGGACTATAAAATGATTTTTTTTTTGCTGTGTATGCCATTTCATCGGAAATAGCTGAAGTTTCTCTTTTCATCTGGCTGGTTTTAATGACCTCTGTGTCTCTCTAGAGTATGAGATAATGACCTCTAGGATGATTGATCTCAACAGCAGTTCTCTGAATAATTTTTGCATATGCCCCAGGCTCCAGGGCCTGTGACGGGTTCTGGGGACAAAAGGAGGTGAGAGGATTGTAGATTCTTACTGTCAAGTTGCACCAGGCTTTTGGAGACACAGACTTAGAAACAAGAGTAAGTGCAATGAGGAGAAAAATAGAACCACATCTTCGGAAACACTGCTAGAGAAAGCATTATTTTGGAGCCTGAGGCTAGGGAGGGCCATGTTTCAACTAGGCTTGAAGGAAAAGATTAGTTTTCATCTGCAGTGATCAGTATATTGGACTGAGGTGTACTGGTGTCTAGTTTAATTACACTCTTACTTCACCAGCTTAGGTACCATATGTCCAAGTTTATTTAGTAAATTGGATGACTTTTAAGGCCTCATGGTTATTTTCTAGAACAATGTTACTTTTAAAGTATAACTGAGGAAACTGATATAATTTATAAGCAGTACCATTGAGACCTTTTGTGTATCCTCTAGTTTAGCTATGGATCTCCAGCCTCTGGAGGTCAGAACCCAGGGGCTGGGTCAACCAAATGTGGATAAAAAACATGGGGGGGGGGAGGGGAAGAGGGGAGTTACGTCACAGACAGACTTTTTTCTTGTCATAATTCTATAGCAATGTAGCATAATTACTGTTTACATAACGTTTACATTGCATTCAGTATTGTAGAGCAGGGGTGAACTAAAGTACATGAGAAGATGTGCAGGGGGTGATGAACAAATACTACACCATTGTATATGAAAGATGACCTACCAGTCTTCCATTTCTTTATCAGTGGAGGTCCTGAGATCATTCCGTGCTGCTGGATACCGAAGGACTCTGCAGTTACTTGAAAGATGCTAAGATGGAAAAAAAAACTATAAAAATTGGCTATTATGTAAATTAATAATTTCCCCTTCTGTCTCCACAGTTGGTTAGTCTGTTGCTGATTGGCATTGCAGCCTGGGGCATTGGCTTCGGGCTCATTTCCAGCCTCCGTGTGGTTGGCGTGGTCATTGCGGTGGGTATCTTCTTGTTCCTGATTGCTCTCGTGGGGCTGATCGGAGCTGTGAAGCACCATCAGGTGTTGCTCTTTTTTGTATCCTTTGGAAAATTCGAATTTTTTTACCCCTTTTAGGTTGACTTCTTACTCATTACTGTTTGAATGATTACAATATATTCAGTGTATTTAATGCTATTATTAGAAAATGAATTGCCACAAAGCAAACTCCTAGAAAACCCTATATATATTTGTTCCACCAATGTCAGGAACATTTGTGAGGGTAACATTATTTATTACCACTCTGAGTCAAATCATGAAGATTTTTTTGGAAGTTCAGTGAAGTCTTAATTAGCAATATTTTCTGATACATTTGATTGAAAATTTGTGTGTTTCTTAGACAATTTGTGTTTCTTATCTGCTTAGTTAATATATATATGTTTATGTACATAAGCATTGCCATTTTATTTGGGATGTAATTCTAATATTTTATCCATTGTTATTTGTATTGTTTTTTCTTTTTTCTTTTTCTTTTTTTTTCTAATATTTTATCCATGTGTTATTTGTATTGTCTTTTCTTTTTTTTTGTGTCAGTCATGGGGCCTGAACTCTGGGCCTGGGTGCTGTCCCTCAGCTCTTCAGCTCAAGGCTAGCACTCTTCCACTTGAGCCACTTCCAGCTTTTTTTTTTTTTTGCTTATGTGCTTTTTTTTTTGCTTCATGCATGCAAGGCAAGCACCCTACCCCTGAGCCACCTTCCCAGCCCTGTGTGTATTCATATTTTTTATACGAACTTAGCATGCGTTAGCAAAATAAAAATTATATGTATACTTTTGATACACATAGTTCTGGGTGAATTTCTTCTAGTACATTTAAAGCTATGTCAGCTTTATACTATTTTAAGAATGTTGAAACATGTCCTTAACTTTTGATTCTCAGTATATGATTATTCTCCTACTGGTATTTATTGTTCAGTTCTCTGTATCTTGTGCTTGTTTAGCCCTGAATCAGGAGCAACAGGTGAGTGGAGTCTTTCCTTTTCTGCTTTATTTTTATTCATCTGTTCGTTGATCCATTCATTTAGTGCTGGTACTGGGCCTTGAGTTCTCAAGGCTTTTGTACTCAAGGCTGTGCTGTATCACTTGAGCCACACTTCTACCTCCAGCATTTTGCTGGAGGAGATAAGATTCTCACAGATTTTTCTACCTAGGCTGGCTTTGAACCACACTTGTTAGATCTCAGCGTCTTGAGTAGCTAGGATTCTAAATGTAAGCTACCAATATCCAGCTTGTGTCTTCTACTTTTTTATATCACCTAGCATGAGCATGAAAAAAGAGGGAGCAATGACTGGACTATGAAAAATTTCCTCTTGCCTAGAATGTTATTTTACTCTGAATAGCTCAATTCCTTCTTTTTGAGTGCATTAGTGGGTTGACAGGAGCTGAAAGACCATGAGGTGTCGTAAAATTTGTATCCTTTATGTTTTAGCTCTAAGCAGGTTAAAAAATGCTACTGCTATAAGGCATTTAATGGGTCCTCCCACCATTAATAAGCAGGAAGATATTTGCTCTGCGATGTTCATAGTGTTATTCTAGCAATTACTCTTTTTTTTTTTTTTTTTGGGGCTTGAACTCTGGGCCTGGGCGCTGTCCCTCAGCTCTTCAGCTCAAGGTGAGCGCTCTACCACTTGAGCTACAGCGCCACTTCCGGTTTTCTGGTGGTTTATTGGAGATAGGAGTCTCATGGTCTTTCCTGCCAGGGCTGGCTTTGAACCGCGATCCTCAGATCTCAGCCTCCTGAGTAGCTAGGATTACAGACGTGAGCCACCAGCGCCTGGCTTAGCAATTACTCTTGTAGAGCAATAAGGGTATCTTGTGTCAAAGCAACAGAAACTTAGTTTTTGTTATAGTCAGAGAATTATGCCTTTGAACCAAATGCTTTTTTAAAAATTGCATATCACAGAATAGAAATAGTACCCTAATTGTAGTTGCAAATGAAAAGATAAGATAAGCCTTTGAAAATTCTTAAATAGTTTTATAGAGGATATTGATTTTGTGCACACTCAGGTCTACAAGCTATAGTCTCCAGCTTTATGCTTTTATGCAGAGACACATTTTTAGCAAATATATGATATGTGTTTCCTAGGGCCAGCTTCTGGAAGTTGGTTGGAACAATACAGCAAGTGCTCGAAATGACATCCAGAGAAACTTAAACTGCTGTGGATTCCGAACTTTTAATCCAAATGATACCTGCCTGGCTGTAAGTGCAACGTATACAATTTGTTGTTGTTTATTTGCTTTAAAATACCCATCCTAGAGCTTGAACTTAGGGACTGTGTGCTGTTCCTGAGCTTTTGTGCTCAACACTAGCAGTCTACCATTTGAGCCACAGCTCGACTTTTGTTCTTTTTGGGGTGGTTGTTTGAAGATAGTCTGTGGACTTTCTTTCCTGGGTTGGCTTTGAACCACCATTCTCAGATCTCAGCCTCCTGAATAGCTAGGATCACAGGTGTGAGCCACCGGCGACTGGCTAGTTTTTTTTGTTTTCTTAAAAAACATATTACATACATAATAAACAATGATTATGATAGAGAACACAGAGTTGTATGTCAGAATCATCCTTCATGTATGTATATTATATTTCATGTACACTACTGTAACGTTTGCCTGTTCTCAGATAACTGAGAATACTATTTCAGGCCCCTGTCAGACATGCAAGCTTTTGGTTTTCCCCTAAATTTTTTCCCATTTGCCTTTTCCTAGAACAAGTTGTAAAGAAAAGTGATAGGCCAGTCTTAGAGATTTAGAAGAAAGCATGTAAACATTGTGATTTTTAAAATAGATCCATGTAGTAGAAGAGAATGATCAATGCTAAATTGGGTTTCTTAACCAGAGACACCACGGTGCAAGTCACATAGAAGTATCTTCTTTTCTCCCTTCCCCCTATCACAATTTGTTTAGAGTTAAACTATTTACCGACCAAATAGAGCCAGCCACCCTACTGTCCCAGGCCAGACTTTGGACCTTCAAGCTCCACCCCCAACCTTGCATGGAAAGAGCTCAGGGCTTAACTCACCTTAGAAGTTCATGTGTGTTTTACACTTTAGCACCTCTCTGGGCCCTGAGGGGGACTCAGTAGTTTTCTATTGGCTGTGTAACAGTTGTTACAAATTTCCCCACCTAAGACAGCACTCATTTATTATCTCACAGGTCCATAGGTCAGGAGTCTGACATGGGTTAACTGAGTCCTCTGCTGAGGGTCTCATGAGGCTGAAATTAGGGGTTGGGAGAGGCTGATATTCACCTGAGGCCTAGGATCCTCCATCTGCCCCGCTATTGAGCAGGGGGCAGGGGTTGGGGATATGGCTTCTAGTAGTCTCCAGACTGAAGGTCCTGTTTTCTTGGTGGCTATGAACTGGGCATTTCAGGCCACAGCACAGGCATCAAAGTTAGCATGAAAATCACTCCATTCTGATCAGATGGAGTCATAAGGAATGCAAGCTAGACATGAGAGTGGCTTTCTCATCATATTCACAGGGCCCAACACAGGAAGGCAGGGTTATACAGGGTCATTGACCAGGGAGCCACCCTAAAGATTTGTTCGCCCCCATAAGAATATGCCCAAGATTGACTGTAATAACCTAGACCCTAATTTTGTGTGTATTTCTTAGTTGCTCTTCATAAGTGTACTTTAAATGTATTGAATACCTTTTTTATAAATGCACTGTTCTTTTTTTTTTTAATTAGGGCATATCAGTTATACAAAGGGACTTCCTTACGAAATTCCCGTACATGCCTATAAATGCACTGTAATCGAAGCCACACGTTGTATTACTCTTTCTTATTCCTCCTTCTCCTTTTTAAACAATTTGGACAGGCTTTGTTACTCTGTTTTCATTACTTGTGAATAAAGTACTTTGCTCATATCCATCCCCCGCCTTTCTTTAATTGACAGAGCTGTGTTAAAAGTAGCCAGCAGTGCTCACTGTGTGCTCCAATAATTGGAAAATACGCTGGAGAGGTTCTGAGATTTGTTGGTGGTATTGGACTCTTCTTCAGTTTTACAGAGGTATGTACAAACAACTCATTATTCTCTTTTGATCTGTGGAGTCCTGTTGGTGGTAGAGCACTTTGTCTAGCATGTGCCAGGGCCCTGGGTTCTGTCCCCAGAACCACAATCGATCGATCGATCGATTGATCGATCGATAGATAGATATTAAAAAGCATGTTTTTTCTTTTAACTAGATAGATAATAAAAGTATATATTTTTCTGTTAACTCATAAATTCCACTTCTAGTATTTTATTTCATGGAGATACAAAATGAACACACAGGATGTTTATTGTTTATAATGGTAAGCCTTTGGGGCAGCTTCTGCTGCTGATTAGAGGATGTGTTTTAACAAATGGAATAGCAGCTGCCCTGACTGGGTTGGCAACCTAGTGCTGCAGCTTATTAGTCGTGTGCCCTTGGCCAAGTTACTTAATCTTATCTGTACAGAAGAATAGAGTTGGGGATATAGTTTTCCCTTTATTCATCACATGTATTTAGTACATACAAAACTTACAATTCTTAAAATAATACCCAGCCCATGGGAAGTTAGCTGTCATTTTGTAACAACTAATTACTGGTATGTAAGTCAACACATGATCCTCTATTAGTAAGAAGGACATTAGACTCTGTTATTGTCAGTTATGTATCCACTGCTGCTTTAAGAAGAGACTAATATTTTACTCTGTGTCAAGTATTCAGTTAAGATTGTTATGTATAGCTGCAGAACCATATGATAACCTGTTTAAAAAAGTGAGCATATATATGAAAATCTGGCAAATCCTAAGGACTTTGAATGATTAGAATTTCAAGTAGTTCCCTACTATATTGACCAATGAATTTCCCCTTTAATATATCACTACAATAAATATCTCTGTGGTCAGCTTTCTGCTATGGAATGTTTTTATCTCCTAACTTTTTAAACTCTTATGATACATAGATAGATATAAAATAGGACTCAGGTGAGAAATGCCCTAAAATATTTTGATAAATACTGAGTTGTCAAATTGCCTGCTTGAAAGGCTCTACTAACTAGATTCAAGCACCTACTAGTTATTTTCGCTATTAAAGAGAGTTGACAATTTGATAGGTTTAGTGGTATTACAATCCTGCTTGCTCTTGTGAAGACATGACTAGTGAATTTCACCCATATATCTGTGTATTTTTTGATAGTTTGTATTTCTACTTTTATGTTTGTGCAATAACTTTTGTCTTAGTTGGAGTCTTTTCAGTTGTGTATAATGAACTTAAATAGCATATTTAAAATGGAATTTTTTTTCTAAGAATTCCAGGTGGGGGTTGGAATAATATGTGTGAGAGTTTGGCATCAAGCTGGGCCTTATGGGGAATAGAAAGCCCCAGAACTACCCATCGCTTCCCATCTTTTCACTTCTTCCCTTTTTTTCTGACTTGCTCTTTCATTTTTCCCTCTAATACCTCATTATCCTCCACATTTGTGTGTGTGTGTGTGTGTGTGTGTGTGTGTGTGTGTGTGTGTGTGTGTGTGTACACGTTGCTTTCTTCTGCTTTCAGTTTCTTTGATATTTACCAACCTTTTTATGTCTGGGATTTTTTTTTATATCTTTTATTGTAAAATTAGTACAGAGTGGTTACAATTACGTGAGTAAGGTAATGAGTACATTTCCTATGGAGCATTGTTACCTCAGCTCCTCCTTTCCCTTCCCCTCTCCTCCTCCCCCCACCCCAAGTTGTAAAGATCATTTTCAACAAGAGTTGTTTTTTATTTTTAATTTAGAGAGGATTTTACCTTTACTGGAATCAAGTCTATTGTTTATCCTTTTGATATTATGCTTAGAAAGGCCTTTCTCATGTATGTGTAACATATTCCAATAATTATCAACTGCATTTGTGCCTATCATGAATACATACGTATATAAGTATCTAATATGTCTAATATGTGATTGGTTTTATATTAATTTAGCTTCTTTCTTCTCCCCTTAGTAAAAAGTTCACCTTTTAACTATTAATAACAAAGTTGACAAAGAACATCAGCTTCAATCCAGCTAGAGCACCTTCTCTCTCTGATCTGCCTTCTTGTTTTGTCATTGTATTTCCATATATTTCCTGTTTTATATTTCTGACTTGCTCCTTCCTATCCTCCTCTGTTATACAGACCCCTGTAATTGCATCGTTGACCTAATCTTGATCATCTGTAACTTAATCACTGCCTGCAAAGTTCCTATTACCTCACCAAGTGGCACATGGTCAAGTTCTGGGGGCTTTTGATAAGAGAGGTGCTGGGTCAGGGCATGCAGTCCACCGCACTGGGCAGGCTTTAATGTATTAGGGCTTCTCACTTGGTTTACTTCAATTTGAAAGAGAAATAAATAAACCTCTTCCTCTGGAACAGCAGAGAAAGTATAGTGAAGCTGAGCGCTGGTGTCTCATACCTGTAATCCCAGCTACTCAGGAGAACATATGAAGATCTTGGCTTGAAGCCAGCCAGTGCACCAATGAACGAGCAAAAAGCCAAAAGTAGAACTGTGATTCAAGTGGTAGAGTTGCCAGTCTAAGTGAAATAGCCAAGTGAGAGCTCAAGGCTCTGAGTTCCAGCCTTACTAGAAGCCTTAGTTTAAAAACAAACAAGAAAGAACAGAAAACCAAACAATAAAGCAAGGTGATTCAGATGTTCTAGAGTTATTTTATTGATAATCATACACAAACATTTTTCTTCCTTTTTTTTTTTTTAATTCCAGATCCTGGGTGTTTGGCTGACTTACAGATACAGGAACCAGAAGGACCCTCGTGCTAACCCTAGTGCATTTCTTTGATGAGAACCAAGGAAAATCTTTCATTGTCAGATCTTGTTCACTTTCTCTATCAGTTAAGCTAATTTACTCATTTAACAAAGGAAACATTATGTTACCTACAGTGGAATTATATATTTTTACTCTTGTGTTTCTCTAAATGATTTTCTGTTTCCGTTGGTGTGGGAAAAAAAACAAAAAACAAAAAAAAAGCAGTGGAAACTCATGGTATCCCCTGACCCTGAGTGGTAACTGTCATCTCCTGTCTTACGGTGTCTGGCACTGTCCACTGTGGCCTTTCTTAGCATTTTTATCTGCAGAAAAACTTTGTATGGCACTACTGTGTTGATCATCTTGTGAAATTGAGTATACATCTCACTGGAATAATTGTGTGTAGCACTGTGCTGTGTAGATAGTTCTGTCTGGGAAGAGTTGAAGTTTATTATAGCCAGAAAGTCAGAGATTCTATTATGTTCAGTTCAGTAAGGGAAATCCACATTCCCAATATTTTATTTTTTTGTCTTTTTAGAAAACGATGTATTGTGGTGATGTATTAATATAGAAGTGATCATTTTGTTCCGTAGTCGTCTGTGATGACACTGATGTAATTCTAGATATATCTGTGTCTTTAGGAGAGGGTGGTTTTTGCCTTCTCCAGGTTAAGTACAAAGGAAAAAGGTCTTGTCCTGTCCGCTTTCAAAATGGAATGAGTGTGAAGAATTCAGTGTCTCTATACTCTTGATATCTTTAAAAAATAATTTGAAGCCTAAAACAATCCCGTATTTTTAAACAAGTTACTATTTAATGCATTGGCCCACGTAGCAAAAAGGTAATTTGACTATACTAAAAAGTTAACTTTTTCATGAAATTTCTCAGTATTGTAATAGCACCTTGTCAAATCCAAGCATATATTTAAATGTGATATATCCCATAATTTGAAAGTGAAATAGTATTGTGATTCTGTATGTTACATTTGAAAACATTAAAAGATGGAAACCATTCTTTGTGTATGCATGTTTAAATTGACAAAAGGTAATGGAACAATTGATGAAAGAATTAAAGAGAGTGATATTTTCTCCCCCACCCCTTCCTGGTGATACTGGGATTCAAAACCAGGACCATGTGCATGCTGGTGCTGTACCAGTAGACCTGAGTTTCTGACTCTGTTCTTTACACATTTTCTTTGTGTGTTTGCTTTTAGAGAATCTAGCCAGCCATTCTGCCCCAGGTGGCCTCAGTGCTGACCTTTTCGCACTTACTCATATGAATAGCTACGATTGTGGTTATGAGTCATCAATGCCCCCCCAGGACCCAAGGATCTGATAAATGCATCTAATGCACTGTGCTGCCTACACCTTGGCCAGACATGGGTGGATGGATAAAGAATGAGTGGAATTTTTTGGTGTGAAGATTTCCTACAAAAGGGAAGAAAGTTCATGTTCATAAAAAAGAATGGGGAGTTTCTGCTTACCAAAAGAGGGAGGTATTTACTTAGGGAAAACATTGGATGGATGGATAGATGGATGGAAGATAGAGATAGATAGATAGATAGATATATAGATAGATAGATAGATATCCTGAGACTTTTTCTTTATTAAAATAGGAAATAATTCTGTGTATATAAATTTCCTTGTAAAGCAACTCACAATTCAGTTGTTGACATTCAATCTTAGTTCATACTTTTCACCAGTGTACTTCTCAAATCTAATTATATTTAGATTTTAGCACCTCATTCATCTCAGCAACAAAGATAACAACTGTAATATTTTGTTCAGTTGAAAAGTGTAAATGAAAAGTGTAAATGAATTTCTGTATTCATTCACCTGAATAAATTCATTATTTAACATACTTATAAGAGACCTTCTAAAACATAGGACTTAATTTATGGTAGTATATTGACAAAAAAAATGAAATGGAGCTTGTCTGCTCATGGAGATACTGGGATTTGAACCCAGGGCCTTGTTCTTGGTAGGCTGGCTCTCTGCCACTTGATCAATGCCTTGAACCTGCTTCTTCATTACCTACTTTGGCCTTACAGCTTAATCCTCTAGAGCCTATTGTCCGGAGAAGCTTGGATTATAAGCAGAAGCCATTGGTGCCCAGCTGGTGTAAGGTTCTTTAAGTGAATTTCCATCTGTGTTATTAGTAGGATTCTTATATCACTGTTCTTATGTAATTAGAAGTGGGTTCTGGATAACTTAACCACAAATAAACAAAAATATATATATAAAAGTAAATGTGTTACTGGAAATATACAATGTAGTCCAAAGAAGAAAAGAAGAGGCAAACAACCAGAAAGGCTCAGAAAGTTTCTTATCAGCAGAACTGCAGGCTTCTCAGTTGCAGATCTAAAGGACAGTCTGTTTGATGATAATCCCTTGCGTGGATGGAACAGCTCACATTATTGCTATTGACCCTCGTGGTCTCAGAAAAGCTACATTTGTCGGGGCCAGAGGATTGGATTCATCTATCTAGCAATGTACATTGTGCCTATGCCTTGGCCAGACATGGGTGGATGGATAAGGAGTTCATGGAATATATATTGATGCATAGACTTCATATGGAAAGGAAAAAAGTTCTTGTTCATAAAAGGGAGGTTGGAATGGGGCTAGCTACCAAAAAAGGGAGGTATAGATTTAGGAAAAACAGAAACAAAATCTCTCCAGGGCCTTTTTCATTATTATAAGTAAGAAAGAGTTCTATGTGTATAAGTTTTCACTTTGTAAAGTATCTTTAAAACAATTTAAATCGAGGGGGAAAGGGTGGCATTGTGTGGCATGATGGAATGGAGGGGATATAGATGAAGATACATGACACTCATAAGCTGACATGTTGCATTGTAACCCCTTTGTATAACTAGAGATAATAAAAATATACTTTCAAAAGCACAATTTAGTTGCTGACATTCAATCTTAGTTTATATCACTTTACCAGTGTTTCCAAAAATCCATTTTTTCCCTCGGTCATGGGGTTTGAATTCTGGGTCTGGGTGCTGTCCCACAGCTCTTCACTTCAAGGCTAGCGCTCTACCACTTGAGCCACAGCACCATTTCTGGTTTTCTGAGTGGCTTATTGGAGTCTCATGGACTTTCCTGCCTGGGCTGGCTTTGAACTGTGTTTCTCAGATCTCAGCTTCCTGAGTAGCTAGTATTACAGGCCTGAGCCACAAGTGCCTGGCCAAATATTTATTTACATTTTAATATTGCCTTTATCTCAGCAATGAAGAAGCTATAAGATTTCATTCAATTCACTTATAAATATTTATTCTCTTAGTAAATTCAGTTGTTATTAATCTATTGAAGAATAGGAAGTTTAGGACTCATTTATAGTACTGAATTGACAAAGAAGAGAATCAGATTTCCTTTTATCAAAAGTTTATTACATGCTAGATTAATATCTTTTTATGTGATGTTCCAGTGTGGCTGAAAGTCCCCAGGGTTTTGTCAGAGGGTGGGTTGGATCTGTGTTTCTCATTCATTGGAGCCTTTACCTCTCCCACAAACTGTTTCCTGGTACTTACCTCTCTCTTCCCATGTACTTCAGCCAAGACTACAGTCTTACACATTGGACTTCTGAGTAAGTTTTTTCCTCATCTGCTTAAAATTTTTGTACTAATCAGAATTATTTTACCAATAGCCTACCTTTTAGATTTATAAAAGTATCATCTAATTAGCCCCAGATAATGAGGATCACGTATTACACAAGCATTAATACCTCATCTTGTGGGCTCATTTGTAATAAACAAGTAGAAAATGCTGACTGAAAAGAAATGTGCATATATGAAAACTATGAGATTTGAAGAGGCAGGCAGGGCTGGGATAGATGTGGGAGAGAATGAAGGAAGGGATATTAACACTGATCAAGTGCATAAACTTAAATTGAAACCTCTTTGTACCTAATTTTTTTTTTTCAGATGTAGGGCTTGAACTTTGGGCCTGGGCACTATTCCCTGAGCCTCTTTGTGCTGAAGGCTAGTGCGCTGACTACTTGAGCCACAGCACCACTTCCCATTTTTTGAGTGGTTAATTGGAGATAAGAGTCTCACAGGGACTTTTCTACCCCAGCTGGCTTTGAACCATGATCCTCAGATCTCATCCTCTGAGCAGCTAGCATTACAGGCATGAGCCACTAGTGCCCAGCTGTTTAAATATTTTTTAAAAAATAGTGTATGGTTAACAAAAATAGAAATAAGTCATTCATATTTGTTTAGGTAAAATCCTTTCCCATTAATAATTAGCACTATTTTGTTATTATTTTTGCATTCTAGGTTATGTTAGTTGTTTTTTTTTTTTTTAATTTTGTTTTTGTAGTTGTTGCCAGTCCTGGGGCTTGAACTCAGGGCCTGGGCATTGTCCCTGAGCTGCTGCTGCTGCTTTTTTTTTTTTTTTTTGTCAGTTGGGGCTTGAACTCTGGGCCTGGGTACTGCCACTTAGCTCTTCAGCTCACGGCTAGCACTCTACCACTTGAGCCAAAGCGCCACTTACAGCTTTTTCTGCTTATGTGGTCCTGAGGAATTGAACCCAGGGCCTCATGCATGTAAGGCAAGCATTCTACCACGGAGCCACCTTCCCAGCCCCTGTTAGTAAGTCTTGATTTTCATATCAAGGAAATTTATAGAACCATAGAGCATTTTGTAGTTTGTCACTTCCAAAATTCTGCAACACTAATTTTCCAAGAAGACAGAACTGTGCTAATACTAGAATGTCATGCTGAGTCTGAGCATTGTTGCTTATGCCGTAACCTGAGACCTAAAGTGACACACAAAGGGAGATCTTCTGATTCTATCTTCCTTTAGCATTCTGTGTTTTATTGCATTTCAAAGTCCTGAAGACTCTGGAATCTCCTAACAAAATACTTTTCATGGTACAAATGTTTGTATGTAGACAAAGTGATCTCAGAGAAAACCAGCCTATGTGTTCTAAATTGCAGTGGCTTTAGAGACAACTGGGTTCAGATTCAGAAACTGGGCTAGATGAATCTTTAGTATCTTAGATTATGAGAGAGAGTAGTAAGTGACGATTAGCCACCCAAGAGATGTCAGTGTTCAAAGTACTAGCCAAAGACCTCGAAAATGAATTTGGGCTTTTTCTTTCATTAGGCAAATCTGAAGGTTGTGGATTACTAGCCCACTCTGAGGTGCTGTGATCTCTTTGTGGCTAGATATAACGATACTGCTCCCATTCCATTCTGTATCATCGTGGCCACTGGAAAGGTATCTGAACTTGGCCATCTGAGTCCTGCCTGTGTATAAAATGCTGCCACAGTTTAAATATCAGAGGAGGGATGGTTCAGTCCCAGGTCTGCTCTCAACTACAAATGGCTGTAGGCAGGTGCAAATCATGAATCTTTTTTTTTTTTTTTCAAACCTTACTTTACCTTAAAAGAAAATGACTACTTAGAAGAAAGCTCTCCAATTTCCTGTTTACATATTCCATCTAGGGGAATTTTCCTGAGAACATTTGCCCTTTGAACATTGTCTTTGACGTTAAAGGTGAAATTTTAGCTGGAGGCAATAGTTGTTAATACAGAGGAACACAAATTCCACTATGATTTCTAAGATCTGAGCTCACCATGTCTCCAATTCATCTCAGATACTTGAGTTCTCTGAGCATCAGCATGTTTGGTATGAAACCAGTTTTGCATGCTCGACTGTAATAATATACTTAATGGGATCATTCGGAGAGGGAGAGAAAACCAGGAGTGTGCTGTTTGTTTAGTTCTTAGATTCCCTTGAGCCCAGACCACCTCCTCCCAGTTTGCTAAATATTTGTTTAACCTTGTTTCCGTTTATTCGTTCCCTTGAAAATACTATACTAAACCATTTTATTCTTCACTGGCAAAGTACTGAAAATGTTTTTCAGAGGAGAAAAACATGCACGATGAATTGGACACAGTGTCTCTCACATGTGTCCAGTTTTGTTTTTATTGGAGGGAACAGGAAGGTTAAAGATCAACTTTTCCAGATTTCTGGATAGTGAGGGGGTGGGTAGACTAAAGTT